GGCGCCGGAAATCTCGGGCTTTATAGCTCAAAGAAGGGGACCGTAATATGAAATTCTTTCATAGGCTTGCTAATGCTCATAGAAGGAGTTATCATATTGGGCAAATCTGTGTTGATGGTTTGGAACTATGAAGAGAGGATGACGTGCGCAGGGGGATCGTTTCTTTTTACCAGCAGCTTTACATTGAGACGTTGGGGTGGAGACCTAGGCTTGACGGTCTCCATTTCGATGTTATCTCTGAGTTTGGATAGAGACAGGCTTGAGGTCCCATTTTCTGAAGAGGAAGTGCTGAAGGCTTTATCGAGTTGTAACGGTGACAAAGCTCCGGGGCCAGATGGATTTACTATGCGGTTTCTAATGAAGAGCTGGGAGGTGGTGCGAAGTGAGGTGATGGGTACTTTCCAGGAATTTCATTCTCATGGCACTTTCGAGAAGTCATTAAACGCCTCTTTTATTGCCCTTAATCCTAAGAAGGACGGCGCTTCTGATATCAAGGACTTTCAGCCAATAAGCTTAGTGGGATGCATTTACAAGCTCATTGCCAAGGTTCTTGTTCTTAGGATGAGTAATGTCTTGGATGGAATTATTTTGGAGTCCCCGAATGCTTTTGTTGGAGGACAACAAATCTTGGATTATGTTCTTATAGCAGGTGATTGTGTAGACTCCAGGTTGAAGAGTGGTGTCCCTGGCGTCTTATACAAACTCGACATTGAGAAAGCTTATGATCACGTCAACTGGAATTTCCTTCTTTACATGCTTTAGAGGATGGGGTTCGGAAGTAGGTGGAGGAAATGGATCGAAACATGTATTTCATCCGTCAAGTTCTCTGTTCTGATGAACGGTTCTCCTGCTAGTTTCTTTGCAAGTTCTCGAGGTTTGAGACAAGGAGACCCCTTGTCGTCTTTTCTTTTCCTTATTGTCATGGAGGGTTTGAGCAAACTAAAGAGGAAAGCGGAGGATTTAGGTTTTATCATGGGCTTCAGAGTGGGCAGAGATGTAGCTCATCAAATGGAGATCTCCCATTTGTTGTTTACCGATGATACCTTGGTTTTTTGTGATGCCGATGTCTCCCAACTTAGATATTTGAGGTGCATTCTTGTTTGTTTCCAAGCGGTTTCTAGGCTGAAGATCAATGCTGGAAAGAGTGTGCTTGTCCCGGTTGGGGTTGTTCCAGATATTTCTTCCTTAGCTACAGTTCTTAGGTGTGGGGTGGGTGTTTTTCCTCTTCCTTAATTGGCACTGCCTTTGGGGGTCTCCTCTAGGAGGGTGGGGAGCTGGGATCCGGTAACTAATAGGTTTGAGAAGAGGTTGGCGGGATGGAAGAAGCAAGTCTGTAAGCCCTTGAAGCTAGGCGGTCTAGGTATCCGAAAGTTGGTTCTCTTTATAGAGCTCTTTTGGGAAAGTGGTTGTGGAGATTCGGTAGGATCGCCAGTGGAAAAAGGATTGTTTCATGTCATTTTGGGGAGGAGAGCGATGGTTGGTCCTCCCGTCCAATCTCTATTGCAGGAGGCGTTGGCGTGTGGAAATTCATTCGGAAGGGTTGGGATGTCTTTTCTTCCCATATCAGATTCAAGGTTCGCAACGGTAGGCGTGTCCGTTTTTGGGAGGATTTATGGTGTGCAGATCAGTTGTTGTCTTGCTCCTTTCCTAGACTTTATAGTATAGCAGAGAATAGACACGCCTACGTAGCTGACTATTATCGGCTTGATAGTAGTGGGATTACATGGGATGTGCGCTTTAGGCGTTCTTTTAGGATTGGGAGATGGACGAGGTAGGTGACTTTCTAGATATGTTGTATCAGCAGGAGGATGTTGGCAGAGGTAGTGATGACATGTTGTGGGTTCCTTCCTCCCATGGAAGAGGAATAGCAGAATTTTCGAAGAAAAGGAATCGCCGTTGGCGACCTTGAAACTTCATATTCTTCGCTCTATTTTTTGTTATGTGAAAGGAAGCACTTGCTCCTCTACTGATGACTTAGTTGATCTTTTGGACTCTATAGGTCCTTAGGTTCAGCTTTCGTTTTTTGTAATAGGGACGCGTCCCCCTTTGAATGTTTTTCTAATCGATTATTACTTATCAAAAATAAATAAATAAATAAGTCTGTAATTTAACAGTACATTAGAGTTTTGAAATATAGAACTTATAAATGAGAGAGCAGAGTTCCCGACTTCCCATGATAAAGGATTGCTAAAAGAAGCTTTAAATGTAGCCTAATGGTACTTCCTCGCCTTCCAAAGTGGAAGGGCAAGGGTTCAAGTCCTCATAGAGGCAAAGTGGGTGTGTGAGTTTCTTGCTAAGGTAAAAAAAAAAAATGTCATCGGCCCTCATCAAAAGTAAGGTTTCAGTTCTTCTCTGGCCAAAGATACGCGTGATAGCCGAATCAAAATTAAAAAAGAAAATATGCATCGCTCAGTCTCCATGGTATATGTTATGCAATTGATTGGAAGTCACTAGTTGTGGAGATCAGAAGTCCATGGAAAAGCAGATTGCATGAGTAGCGAGTCTGTCAATGAATCAGTAGCTAGAAGATCTGAGTTCATATTGCTTAAGTCTGAGTCAAGAGAATCTAGGTGATTCTTGGTTTGGAGTCCAGCTCTTTGTCCATAACGTCTTTCTCACATTGTGGATTCTGATCTGCCTAGACTAGGTCCCGTGGTTTTTCCCATTATAGGACTTCCCACGTAAAAATCATGTAGGCAAACTTGAAAGAGAGAAAGAGAAGATGGCAGTGTGAAAGCACCATTGACTCCCTTGGTGAAGGTTTAGAACTAAAAAGAGGAGGGTGAGAGCATATAGGTGAGAGAGGGAGTTAGTGATTCTACTGATTTTCTTTTTTCATCTTCGCCTTGGTAGAGTGTCCTTTTATAGGCCAAAAAGTGAGGATGGGGCGATGTCATGATGAAGCAATAATATATGAGTTTAACATTGTAAGGAAAAGAAGAAATATATATAAACAAAGTAATAAGAGGCAATTATAGGGTGTAGAGTTGTCAAGTGCAATGAGTTAATTATTTAATGAGATAAAGGGTAATTATTTAACGAGATAAATAATATTAATATATATATATATATATATGGCCGGGTAAGGTGAGGATAGAGTAGACAGGATTCCAATGGTCCTTCTCTCTCTACAAGTCAGGTTGATGGTCAGCTCGTCAAGACCTGGACTTCAGCCACCAAACCAATTACCTCCTTGGATCCCAAAAATCACTGAGCCCTACTTCCAACTCGGGTCTTCAAATCTTCAGTCTTTGGTATTCTATTTGAGGTTTATTGATGACATGGTATGTGCCACGTCACTTGCGCGTTCACCTCTTGACTTTTAGCTAAGTGGGCCATTATTGGTGATGTGGCAAGAGTCCCGTGGGGCATGCATATTGGGTATCTGCACTCTACTCTATTTTATATACTGTTTTATGTGTTAATGTGATTGAATCGAGACATGCAATCAGATAATTAACTGATTTTTAAACAAGGATTAATGGTAATCCAAAAAGTTAGTTAGTTGCAAATTAATATATATACGTCCTATTCACCCTCCTCTAGATCTAATTTACTGTTCATCGGCTGACGTATCAGAGCCCTGGCTAACACTCCCTATGTTTCTCAAATCTCATTATTTTTACACAAAGGGATCATTGCTTGGTGGAATAATAGAAGAGGTCACTACAGTCTCAACCAATACTAGGCCATTTCTGCTCCATGAATGAAGAGAAAGATGTACAAGTTCTAAGTCATTGATACTCTCGTCTTCACAAGATCAAACATGTAGAAAGCAATTATGTATAAGCAAATAAATGGCAGTGCGGAAGAAAACAAGGACATGATATTATATCTCTTTGTAAGTGGCAATGTGCCAATGCCATTAAAATGACAATGAAAATCACACCAATACAACAGAAACTGTTATAAGCAACAACTCAAGAAATAGGACACAAAAAGAGTATTAGTCAAAAAACTATGAGACCATTTACGCAAAAAAGTATTGAAATCCAATTAAAGCCAGGTCATGCTATATCAATATGAGCAGGCAGCACGGGCACGAATATAATCTTTGTAAAATACCCAATTGACAACCCTAAATAAACCAAGAGCAAAATATATTAAGGTTCTCACAAAGAAATATTATGGCATTAAACACAGTGAATTAATTTCTTACCTAAATAAAAGTCTAAAAAAAGTCAAAAGGAAAAAAAGAAAAAGAATATGACAGCAGGTTAGAAAAATATTTACATAATTTCAGAACAAATATAACTAAAAAAGCTACATACGCAAAAAAAAATATAAAAAAAATAAAATAAAATAAAAATTAAAAAAAAATTAAAAAAAAAAAAGAGGGTATAAAACATTGGACAGTTTAGAGACAGCATTAGAAATTTTCTCTCTTTTTTTCTTGTGGGGAGGGAGGATGGCAACTTTGAATTATGAGGGGACTAGCCTATAGAGAGATTAAGGAATAAAATACATGGGAAAATAAGAACTCCTTGACCTTAGGGTAGCTCTGCACCTGGTGAAGGATGATAATTGATCTTTACATGATGCACAGTAAGCTTGGATTAATGAATCTGAAGTAATAAACTCTGAAGTACTTAACTGCATTGCATTTGCATTTTTCAGCCAACTTGATAGAAAGAATACATGAATCCATAGCATTAAGAAGAGTTATCGTGATAGAAGTGTAGCTAATAAATGTAGTGGCTTTTTTGTTCTCTTGACTTTGTACATATTTGGGGTCCATGCCCCAGCTTTTAGAATATCTTGGGCCCTCAACATCTAATGAATCGATATATGGATCTATCTATCCCCTGTATCACTTTAAACAGGGACTTTTCTGATCTACTTATAATTTGAAATAACTTCATTACCCAGAACAGAAAGGTAAGCAATGCATGTGACATAAGTGAAACAGAAGAGACACAATGTAGAACTGGAACCATATGAAGTATGAACATTCGGGGCAATGCATTACCGAACATATTAGAGTCTACAATCATACAAACCTCCAATTCTCTTTCCTGAGAAAGCCTTCGTATCAACGATGAGTGCATTTGCAAAGAGTGGTTAATGTCCTACAATATAGTAGCAGAAAAAAATTACAATTTCCTCCAGACCAAAAACAACCCATTAGAAAAATCCTAAAAACAAGATCATAATTTCAAACCAAGAGCTGTTATCCATAAGAGGAAAATAAATAAAGGCATATCGTTGCAAATTTATAACTGATATTTAACCTAATCAAACAAACTTTTTCAAGCATCAACATATGTTTTTATTCTTATATTCCATGTTTGTTCTAATAACAGAAATTTTCCATCTCTTCCAACCTACATATTCCCTCGGAATTTTTTTTAATTGCAAAGGAAGAAAAAAAATATTGTGCCTAAAAGCAGCCACTTGCACAAAACAATGTAAAAGTTAGGTCTTTGTTCAATCCAAGAACTCAACTACCAACTTTTGGATATGAGATTTTTTTATCAGATAATGCCACATGATTTAAGCTTTTATGAGCAAACTCGATGGGGAAAAAATTACATTGACTATAGCATTTTCGGATATGAGATTACTTGGATCAAGCACACCCAGACAAACCTTCTAGTTCATTATTTCCTCTGCGATTCTTGCAAAGGTGTAGAGGTGCTGCATTATATCCAAAGGAAATTGCGAAACAATATAATAAGCACAAATCAATCTTCTTATCAAATGCAATGATAATCATAGGGTATAAATGGGCATATAGGGGAGAGAACTGTTACCACACAAGGAATTATTTCCTTTTTCCATCATACTTATATTATCTTTGCCGATTGAATGAGAACAAATATTATTGCACTTTTCTAGTCAAGCAAATTTATTGGTAGGTTTTCCCAGCTTTCCCTACATTTGTTTTTGGTAATTAGCTTTCCCTACTATCCCTTGCTGTAGGAATCATTTTATCATAAATCTCTGTCCTCCCAAAAAGGCATCAGTACCATTAAGGAAACAAAAGGTGTGGGAAACCCATGCATAATATATTGAAATCAATATCAGTATCACGTTTTTTCTTTATGAAAAAAAATAATAATAACAAAATATTGATACAAATAATGAACCTCGAAGTTTTAATGAATTATAAAACTAATTTACAAATTAAAAATACATCAAAGCTTGACTCAACCAAACACTAATTACTTGAGGTCCAAGTACAACACATGAGAAATTCCCAATGTGTTTTTTTCTTATTCACATGTGTAGTGTCATTCTTACCTGCATTTGAGCATAGTTTTACAGTTTTTTAGAGTATTGATGTATAGCCAACAAAGAGAGATGAAATATAAGAGCTGATTTGATTTAATCCCATCTTTTGGAAGAGAAAGAAACACAGTACTAAGGATCCATCTTTTCCATTGCGTCATTCAATCTATTCACTATCACAAGTTATATTTGTCACTGCAAAAGTCAGTGACTGCCTCCCCACGGTCATTTTTATCTACACCATTGAAATACAAATACACCAAAAGAAAATCATGAAAAAACAAATACCTAAAAGAGAAGAAAAAAAAACTAAACCCTAATACTTTCAGCTACACCAGCTGCTCCTAACAGATCCTATCAACATCAACTCAACTAAACCTCATCAATACATGAAGTAACTCATGCATATCATTCAACCATATAGAAGTACCAATGTACCATAAATGGACATTTCCTTTCCCTTATTCTAGAATGTTTATATGCATCTTTCTTTGCATCCTCTGAAGTTACCCTAAGAAATCACCATTTCCTTTCCTGCCTCACCACTTTCTTAGTTTCCTTTCCAAGTAATTTATACCTTTCAAATTTCTAATTAGACCTACACATACTTGTGATGTCAAATTTTGTCCTAATTGCCTTTTGAACATTTCCACCACCAAGTTCATTTAAACGATGATTACTCCCCAAACTTCTTTTGCTACTCTTTTAATGCAATGAGCCATCTCACACTACATCACACAGGATTTTCCATTTGAAATCCAATTCCCGTATTGATCATTTAATGATTAAAGGCAATTAAAAGCTCCCCCTTTAGGTTTTGCTATCTGGTTCTTCAATGTATATTCCCACACTCTCTTTTCCATATCTTGATCCACATCAAGTACAGTTAACCTATATCTTGTGATTTAGGCTCTTCTACATTATGACCCTTTCAAATTTTTTTTGTCAACTGTTCTAGTGAAAAACTAAAGAAATTTATTCTAAAGTATTTATTCCATTCTTTAGCGTCAATCATGCCTTCATCCCTCTTCTTTAAGAACACGTATCAGCTATTACAAGGTCATATGCCATTGCAAATTCTAAGTTTGTGCCACACTCTTACTCCGTCCCCTAAATAAAAAAACACATGGAAATCTCACCCTTTGAAGACAATATTAACAGACCAAAAAGTTATTGCGTTGAAAATTTGGAAGCATATCACACACAATCACACGTATGTTCTACTGTATATCACAAAGATAACCTTTTTTTTTTAGGGTAAGTAAAGCCAACCCATTTTGGGGTGTACATATCAGAAAATGGGGAAAAAGGGAAGGTACTGATGAACTTATATATAAACGAACATCCTCATCAATGGAATGAAAAATGAAGGTAAGACCAACAAAGGAGGTGTCAGAATAAAATAATCCTGGTGAACAATACTTAAACTTTAAAATCTTTACCCAAAAAGAATCAGAACGAAAGGAAAAATGAATGACAACAAGAACAACATCATTACACCCAGTGAAACAACTATTACACTTCCAAGTTCCATCCTTCAATAAAAATCATTTCACTAAAAATTCCAATTGCGACTACTTCAAAGTTCAGATAAACCTAATAGATAAGAAACGATGTAATTCCTCAATAATGTCCCGTTTCCCAACCATTCCCACCCAAAAACCTAAAAGCAAGCTCTTGGAATATTAAAACATGAACCATCCACCAAATTCAAAGTGACTAATGAATTCAAAATACACGAAAAAGAATCAAGAATTGTTAAGCGATATATAATTGAATAGAATTAATTTAGTGCGATGATCGAAATTAAGTTTAAAGGCAGAGAATTGACATACATGGCGAGCGGAGAGAGTTCGACTGTCGATCATGTCAGTGATGTTGCCATCGTTAAAGCAGAGATTTTCCATTGCTGAAGCTGCGTGGAATTGCGATGAGCGATAGCAGAAAAACCCTAGCTGAATCGATTATTGTGTAGTGAGTGTCTCTGTGTGCGATCTCAGACGTGTTGATAGATAGAGAGAGAGAGTCGGTTTGGTTCATTCCATGGACAGACGTCTTTTACCTTGACGTCACCTTCTTTGCCTAAAGAAGGTACACGCTCACCAATACGAGTGCGTACCTCGTGTTCTCGCAGTTTTGGGACACGGTGGATTTTACTTTAATTTTCTTCGCCTTTCTACTAGTAACACGAGAAAATCATAGTAAAGGGCATTATTTAATGGTTGAATGGTACAGTGCTTAGAGCCCATTTCAAATTGCTCTTAAAATGATAGAAAACACTTTTAATAGTTGAACGCTCATAAAATTGCTCACTAAGATGCACTTATGCGTTTAGTGACATATTATATAAATTACTTTTTATATTTGACTCACTTGTAAATTTAAACAATGCTTGTCTCATGCCGCATAAGTAAGAATGTCATTCCAACATGAACTAATAAAAATATAACATATGTCAAAAACTTTTAAAATAATTAATAAAAATTGTTTGGATCTTTTTACAAATCATCCAAAAGGAAAGATTTTTTTTTTTTCCTTAAGCGCTTTAGATTTTCTATTTCAATCTGTTACAGAAGCTAAACAATTAGTCCAAACATGGTAAATTAACCACAATGGTAAGACTCCAATTATCAATGGAATTTAAGGAAATTAATTTGGCTTCAAATTGTAACAGGTGGTGATAAATCTCAAAATTTTAGATGCCAATTGATCGGCCTATTGAGTCATTCTGGAGATGGGGTTGCAACAAAAATGGCAGGCAACGAATGTAACGGCTTGAATTATTTCTAAAGATTGGATGTAAAAGATTAGGATTTGAGAATGGAAGAGGTGGCAAGCAATGGAGGTGGTGGAAGTCAATGGGCCAAAGAGATGATTAATATTAAGGTTTCAAAATTTGGGAGATGGTGGGCATCAATGGAGATTTGGTGGGAAGAGAGAAGAATAGTGAGTTAAAGAGAGGGAGAGCCCACTACCAGGTCTCACACGCGCGTGAGAGAAAATCGTGTTCCTTTTTGTGGTTCCTAAAATTATCTCTTTATTTTTTCTCTATTTTCTCTTTCACTCTTCAAATTCCTTAATTTCTTTAAGAGTCTATTTGGTTAGACAAATAATTTTATAGAATGTGAAAGTAAAGAAAGGAAAATCAAGTTTCGATCATGCATTTGGTTAACAGGAAATATTTTGAAGAAAGTTGTAAGAAAATATTATTTTATTAATTTGGATGGCATGAAAAGGAAAAGAAAATAATTCTACTTACCGAAAGTACCCTTATAAATTTTAAATAGTAAAAAAATAAATAAATTTATGTTTGATAAATATTACTTATACTTAATTATTTATTTTAGTAAGGAAATAGTGAAATATGTAATAGAATAGTATCTGATATCATAATACAATTTTTTTTGCTTTCTCCTCTCTCTCTATATATTCACTTGTTCCTGTGTAAACTTGAATTATCGATCTTTTATTTTTTAAGATAAGAAAAATAAGTTTTTGGTAAAGTGGACTATCAAAGTTCAAGTATTTATTTTCTCTTTATGTTAGTTTTAATTTTATTATTTATTATTTATTTGTAAATGATGTAACTGGATACCATATATCTAATTACAGCTTTAAAGTCATAGACATATTATGTAAATTATTTACGAATCATCAATTATTTATTTCTTGATAATGTTTGATGTTAGGTATGAAACAAATTGTGTTAAGATATTGTAGATTAGTTTTCACCTAACACTCTTGTTATCAACAAATAGTTATGTATATAAATAATAACTCTTAATCATTATTAATTACAGAAAAAAAATGTTTTACTTATTTAAGACATTTCAAAAAAAAAATGAAAAATAATAATTCAGTAATAAAAGGAAAAAATTAATTAATTTTGGATGCACGTATAAAAAAATACAAACAATTTAATTAGTAATACATGATTTTATAAAAAAACAATTTACAGAAAAGGAACTCTCCTTTTCAAAGAAGTCTATGTAATTAAGTAAAGAAGAATAGAGACAACTAACATGGGTATAATAGGAAAATAATACATAAAGTACACAACTTTTGCGAGAAAGTGAATTTCCTTGTATTTTTTGCACGAAAAATTTTAAGGAAAATTTTCAGATGCGAGAATCCTACTTTCCCCAAAACTTTCACTTTCTCTCTAACCAAACTTCCAAAAAATTTAAATATTTTCCTTTCCTTTTCTTTTCTTTTCTGGTTACTTGACGCTAACCAAACGGACCCTAATAGAAAAAATCAAAATTTCCTTTCTCACATGAAACTCTTTAACTTAGTCATTTTAAAGTTCTCTCATTTTTCTTTCTTTTTTCTTTTTCTACTTCTACTTTTAAAATTCTTCTTTTAAGCATGCATATTTGAATAATTTTCTTCTTCTTTATCTTTTGAATTTTATAATTGTTATATTATATATATACACTTCGTATTAATTTTTTTTTTAGCATTGTGTCATATTGTTATTGGTTCATATCAACATAAGAAGGAGAGCCCTGCTTATGCGGCCTAGGGCAAGCTTTTTCCTTTAAATTTGTTCGGTAATAATGTTGTTTAAAGCATTTTTATTACTAATTTTACTATATTACCCCTATGCTAATAAATATGTGCTAATTTCCTAATATTAAATATTATAAATTTTATTGAATTCAATAATTTATGAAGATCAACCTGTATTGATTTTGTTTTTATTTATTTTTTAATATCACAAATTTTGTTTATCATATAGTATTTGTATTTAGTTCTAAAATATAAATGAGTTAAACATATTTTAATGATTATTAATTTGTATCTGATTTTGGATCTTCTAGTAATATAATAAGCAAATTCGTTCATATCGTATCTAATATTAAAATTAAACAATATAATACTTTGTAGTATAGACAACATTTCATTAAATAAAACTACACACTTCCAATGTGGTGATGGTGGCATTGGTGCACAGTCCCAAAATGTGATGACCCTGTGGGCGGGTGTGCCGTGGGCGGGTGCGAGAGACACTGTCAGGCTACCACACTGGCGAGCTACGGGTGCACAGTCCCACATCGCCTGGGTAGAGGAAAGGTGAAGTACTTATATGTAAGTGTGTCACCTCCAATTGGTATGAGGCCTTTTGGGGTGAAGCCCAAGAGCAAAACCGTGCGGGCTCAGGCCCAAAGCGGACAATATCATACCATGTGGTGGAGTGGGTCGTTACAAATGGTATCAGAGCCTGACCCAGCCGGAAGTGTGGCCAACGAGGACGTTGGGCCCCAAAGGGGGGTGATTGTGATGACCCTGTGGGCGGGTGTGCCGTGGGCGGGTGCGAGAGACACTGTCAGGCTACCACACTGGCGAGCTACGGGTGCACAGTCCCACATCACCTGGGTAGAGGAAAGGTGAAGTACTTATATGTAAGTGTGTCACCTCCAATTGGTATGAGGCCTTTTGGGGTGAAGCCCAAGAGCAAAACCGTGCGGGCTCAGGCCCAAAGCGGACAATATCATACCATATGGTGGAGTGGGTCGTTACAAAGAATGTAATACCCCGATAATTTTAAAAGATTTATTAATTAGGATTAATTATTTTATTTTATTTTTCAATGATTTATTTTATTTTATTGAGTGCTAGATTAATTATCTTATTTTAATTAAGTTATATTTCGTGATTATGTATGATGATTGATTATTTGTGTGGTTGATTATTGATTGAATTATTGGTGTGTTGATTTTATTGGTATTATATGACTTAGTTGTAAATTCTTGTTTGTTTATGTGCTTCATGTAATTAGTTATTTTAATTTCTGTATTTAATTAATTATCTTATTTATTTAAATTAATTGGATTGGGCTTAAGGAAAGTTGGACCAAAAGATGTGGTCTTGGGCTTGTATAAAACCTTATTGGGTTAATTAATGAAGGTCCGTGGTTATTTAATTATTTAAATGATCACTTTTGTATCAATTATATTTATATATATATATATATATAATTATATATAAATATAATTAATTAATAATTGTTATGGAAAGATATATATATAGATATATATTTATTGATATTTATAAGTATATATGATTTAATTAACTAATGAGTTAATTATGGAAGGAATATATATTTATATATATATATATATATATGTTTATAGATATAAATTATTTAAAGATTATTATTTTAATTCATAATACGAGTTGGAATATGATTTGGAATTTAAGGTGTATAAAAATACACATAAGGCTTTAGGATTAAAGGTTTTACACGTTAGAAAAATAAAACAGACAGAGAGAGAGGAAGAAGAAGGGCTGACAAGGAGGAGGTCGGATCTGAAAAGGAGGACGTCGGAATTGGAAGAGATAATTAAAGCTTAAAGCGTCGGTTTCGTTTCGAAACCTTCAGGCGAGTTTTCTCTAACTTTCCTCTTAGAACTCATAAGGATTTCACCTTGAGTATCAAGGCTTTAATTAAATTTATTTGTTTAAAAATTATGGTTAGATCGGAATAATTAAAAAGTATAAACTATTATATTTGATTTTTAGATTATTGGATTTTAATTGATATATATAGGTGTTATGTATATTTTAAAATCAATCTATAGGTGGATTTGTGACCCAAGAGAGTTAATTATGGTTTCTTTATTTTCTAGAATTGTTCTGTAATTTTCTGGAATTTTTCTGATATTTTTAGGAATTTATTAGGATTTATTTTCCTATTATTTGTTAGGAAAATAATTATATATATATATATATATATATATATATATATATATATATATATATATATATATATATATACTAGGTAACTGGCGCATGTGGAGCGGCGGCACAATAAAGAATTGATCCAGTGCGGCGCGGTGTAGGATAATAGGGTGTATACGCCAATTAGGGCCATTTGATTAATTAAACTTATGTGAATTGATATGGTGCATCGCGGCGCATAAAACTTTGGTGCGCATGTGTATCTGGACCATAGAAGTGGTCTGGTCAACTATGGGATTATTTGGTGTATTGCAGACCATGAGAAGATGGTGCACTCGCTGATCTGGACCTTAGATCTATTATAGTTAATAGAAAATAATCTAGTGTGAGCGTGTTCATTTGCGCACTCATTTATGACC